CTTCTCACTTCCTGAACATCCTCCGGCTTTCCCACTTCCACGCTCATGTTTTACAGCCCTCTCCTAATTTCATTACCTGCCCTCCCGCCACACACACACCAGTATGTGAAAAAGAAACCTCTGGGATTCTCCTCCCTCTGCTTCAGAATCTGTGATACTGTAAACTTGCATTCCAATACCTTTGACGTGACTTAGAGATCAAGTTTATTTCATTTTTATATTCAACCAGTAATTAGCAAGAGCCTATTTATGTAAAGGTGTGACAACAGTAGGTAAAATGCTAAGTGCTTCAGGGGATACAGAAATATACCCCAGTACGTGCCCTGAAGGAACTAACATTCTTTGCCCGTTTTTTTTGTTTTATGATCTATTATCACGTAAGATTTTAGTCTCTCTACAGTTTTGCTCAATACCTTATTGATCAGAAAGTTTATGCTACATGAATTCTCAGTTGGAGTAACTCAATCCCCCAGCCCTTCTCTGCAGCTTCGCTACTGAGTTTCTGATACAGAATCAGATAAGTAGGTCAGCTTTTACCAGACTTATTACCCAGTATTTTCTTTCTCTGAAGTTCTCACACAGCACAGCTATTCTTGTCACTGACATAGAGACAGCTCTTTGAATGACTTCAAACTTCTTGCTTCTGACTTCTTTGTTCCAGCGAAGATTAAGTAAGGTCCTCTTTCCTTCCACAGAATTCACTCCATTTATATCGCTTTTGAACTGCTCAGTTTATCATGTAGATTTATGAAGATACATAACTTTAAGGGAAACTATTTTTAAAATTTAGTTGATGCTCCTTTTTAATTTCAAGTAGAATGTTTTTACTAACCTAAAAAGTGACACTTGTTCTGAGTAGAATTCATTCAGAAATATGTAACTAGCTGACTAGTCCTAAAACATAGTGCAGTCACAATAGCTTTAATACCTTGGGCACGCCACCACTCACGGCATGACCAGTGGGCATTCAGTCACTGTTTGCCTTCCCAACTTGTAGTAGTTATTTTTAAGGCACAAACATTATACAGGTAATATTCATTATCTAATATAAAACTATTTAAAATACGTCAATTAAATATAATTGTTTATTATCCACAAAGAAATGTCATCAAATGGAACCAATTTCAGCCAGGCAAAGACCGAGGACACAGAATATGGTTCCCAAGCTTCCCTGGCTTCGCTCTCTAAATGTATTTCATTAGCCCAAAGGACATAATTACCCAGGGCTGAGGGAAAACAGGGTGGCGGTCAAGGCTTGTCATGATGCTAATACCCGTATCAACCAATGCTGCATTTTTCAAGAGATTCACAAGGTGTCAGAGTTGCTCAGGCCCAGGAATAGATACAAAATAAATATTCTTTGTTAGGCCTTACAAGTAAAGGCAGTCTCCGACGAGGGGGTTGGTGCATTCTTATAAAGTATCTGAGATCCAGAGGATAAAAAATTAACTTTCATGGTATTTGATATTTTTACACCAATTAAAAAATAAAAATATCTCATGGAAATTTATAATTTAGTCATAGAGCAAAATTATATGTCATTTTACTAAATATTTGTTCCTAAGACTTATTGCCAACAATTCCAAACATGATGCAGAATTTATGAAAAAATAATATATCTTGACTTTCGACAAACATCTATGGAATACATATCGTGCACCAGAGTCTGGGGAAGAGCTCCCAATCAAACTTTCCCCTTATGTTTGTCATTATTTATCACTTTCTTAGACTAGAATTAAGATCTAAAGAGCCTTTCTGTCAGATTTTTAAATTCATTTACTTGCAAATTATATTTTAAAAATTATCTTTGGGATGAATATAAACGCAGAGTTTAAATCCTAGTGACATCTATCGATGCTGATTGTTATGACATTTAAATAACAATTTGTAATGCACCTAATAAAGCTCTTTATTGTTTTAAATATCCATAAGTGACATTTAGTACCTTTGCCATGTTGTGTAACCATTATCACTAATTAGTTCCGGAAAATTTTCATCACCCTGAAAGGAAATTCCTTCCTCATTTAAGCAGTCATTCCCCATTCTCTCTTCCTCCAAGTTGTTCAATACTATTTGCTCAAGAGACGTCTTTTTCTCCATTGAATGGCCTTGGCACCCATGTCGAAAATCAACTGACCATGGTGTACTGCCCATAGTTTATTTCTGGATTTTCTGTTTTATGTTATTGTCCTATATGTTTATCCTTACAGCGGTACACTGTTTGGATTACTGTAGCTTTGTAACAAATTTTGAAATCAGGAAATGTGACTCTTCCAACTCTGTTCTTTTTTAAGATTTTTCTTGGCTCTTTTGGGTTCTTTGCAATTCTATATGAATTTTAGGGTCAGCTTTTCCATTTCTGCAGGTCTTTAATTTCTTTCAGCAATGTTTTGAACTTTTCAGTATACAAGCCTTGAACCACCTTGGTTAAATTTATTTTCATTATTATTTTTGATGTTATTGGAAATAGTTTTCTTAATTTTTCTCAATTTTTTTTTTGCCAGTGTATACAAATCAGTCAACATTTGTGCCTTGCTCTTGTATTCTGCAACATTCCTGATTTTGTTTATTAGCTCTAATAGGTGTTTTTTGGGGGGAAAGGGATAGTTTAAAATTTTTTGTAGGATTGTGTAGCGGCCAATAAAGAGAGTTTTACTTCTTCCTTTTTAACTGGATTCCCTTTCTCTTTTTTTGCCTAATTGGTCTAGCTAGAACTTCTGGTACAATGTTGACCAGCACTGGTGAAAGTGGTCATTTTTCTAATCTTAGAGAGAAAGCTTTCAATCTCTCACTGCTTAGTATGTTGTTAACTGTAGATTTTCATGAATGCTTTTTAACAGGTTGAAGAAATTCTATTCCTTTCCTAGTTTGCTAAGTATTTTTACCATAAAAGGATGTTAGATTTTATCAAATGCTTTTTCCTATCAATTGAGATGATCATATTTATTTTCTTGTTTATTCTGTTTTTCTAATAATAGCTTTATTTTCATGTCACTTTTCTAGTTTCTTCTACCTGTTGCTCCCTTCATTCTATTTGTGGTATATTAGACAGATTGATTTTTGTATGTTGCACTATCCTGTAGTCTTAAATAAATTTTACTTTTTGCATGTTGTATAATCTGTCTTTGTCTAATTTTGATATCAAGATACTTCTGGCCTTATAGAATGAATTAGGAAGTGTTCTCTCCTTTTTGGGAGGAAGAGTGTAAGAAGCACTGATGTTAATTCATCTTAAAATGTTTGGTAGAAATTACGGCGAATCCATCTGGTTCTGTACTTTCTGCGTTAAAAGGTTTGTGGTTCTTGATTCAATCTCTTGTTATATATATGCTTAGATTTTGAAAATTTTTCCTTGAGTCAGTTTTGGTAATTCACTTGTTTCTAGAAATTTGTTCATTTCATGTAGATTATCTAATTTGTTGGCAACAAATCTTACTTTTGATGAATAAATCTGGTTATGGTTCAGTCATCCAAAATACCATAATATTTATCTAATATTTATAAAACTTGAAATTACATCCTGTTTCTTATATTTACTTTTTAAAAGCAAAATGTATATAAAATTCCATAAGAGATTTAGGCAAAATTTCCTCCAATACTGAGAAACCAAAATTTTCTAATAGGAGTGTGACTGGAATAAATTTACTTCTAAAAAGCATAAACCTTTATTTTTCTTCTGACTCAATGATTCCCCACATAAAATGAAGCTCTCTTTTTCTACCTAGAAATAGGAATAAGTGTGGACTCCTGAGCCAGAATGCCTGAGTCAGAATCCCTGCTCTTCCACTTACTTGCCATGTTTAATCTTAGGGTTAACCTCTCTGTGTCCCAGTTTCCTCCTCTGTAAAAAAGAATAACAATAATAGAACTAACCTCATTAAGGTTGTTGTGAGGATTAAGTGCATTCATGCATGCAAAAACTTGGTTCCTGGTTCCTAATAAGCATTCAATAATTATTAGCAAATATTATTTTTCTTAAGGTGATCATTATTTGGGGTTAAAATAAAAAATAATTAGACATCTCAATGGAGAGACTAAGAGTAAAAGTCAAGGCAGCAATGTTGGATGATGGATACAAGGAAGAATCATATTTTCCTCTAGATTTATAAGACCTCACACAAGGAAAAGAATAAATGTTTTGGCAAATGCTTTGTCATTAGAACTGATATACTTTACTAGTATCCAGGAAAACAGGTCCCACTGACTGCAAAACTGCATTAGAGAGGCCTTCTAGTGGGGGAAAATCAAAGAGACTGTTCTAATGAATCCCACACAAAAGAAAGGAAAGTCCTCAGAGAGAATCAGTTCCTTCACTTTAACATGAGTCTGGCTCCCCTGTGGGCTCAGGGAACCAGACGGCGGATGAGCATTCGAAGGACTGATCACAAGCAGACGGCGGATGAGCATTCGAAGGACTGATCACAAGGATAAGTACTTCCTTTTAAATGACAGGTCTAAACCTTCACAAGGGATGATGTACTGAACGTTTCCACTTTAGACGTTTTTCTTTTGTTTCTTATACCTTTTCCTCTTCTCGCCACTTTCCTAAATATATATCGTCTAGAGCTGATCTCTCCTTGTTAGGAATGTAATTGAATTCATAAATATAATATAATGAATATATGAAATATTATTGTATTTGTTACTATCACTATTATTTTCTTAGCACCCACACTGGTAAAATAACTACAGGATTTGTTGTTTTCGGAATAGCAGTACTCAGTTTTTTGATTTCCAAAATAGAAACAATGTAGAAACATTTCATCAGCATTCAAAATTAGCTCAAGAAAATGTTTTTTCTAATTTTTAAAGAAAGTAACTAAAATAAAGGTTATCTTATATAAAATGTAAAAATATACTAACTATAACACTGTATTTTAAAAGATGGGCATTTAGTTTATACTCATTTTATCTTGATATAAGTTAATGAGTTATACCTTAAAGAATTTTTCATAAAATATTACCACCCAGTGTATTTTTTCAAACAATACACAATTCACTTTGAGTATTAACATTCACAGATGTAATTAGAGTTTACAAATGTACAAAACTTTGGGTAATAAACACTTTAAACTTATTTTTCAAACATTCAGTAAGCCCATTCCCCCCCCACAAACTGTTTGATTACAAAGAAGCACGAAGGGTTACTAACTGGTAAAACATAAGAAACAAGGCAGGGGAGGCAGATAACAGTTGAGAACATCAGAATATCCAACCAGTTTTTGTCAATATCAAAAGACAAAATTAAAATATCTTTTATAAAAGACAATAAATCCATATAATTATACACTAGTTGGATGAAAGAACATTACAGGGTATATAACATTTATTTCCTCTACATAAATTTGCATATCTTAAATTTAATGAAAAACATGTTTCAATTCCAATTTGAAAATATCATAACATTTAGTTCTTGGTGAACCTAGATGTAATAGGATGAATATTTAAATAGACTCCCAAAATCATGTCATGTTTTCATTTGGTCATTATGGTTTTAACTCAATATTTTTCTGTATTCATTGGAACTAACCCCATTTTAGAAATAAAATCTACAACCGAAGCACATATAATACAGCTATTTCTGAAAAAACTAAATAACAGTCTTCAGTATGTCATTAAAAGAGTGGTTATACTTAAACAAACAAGCAAACAAGTGAATACAAATTACTGCAACTCATGTATGATAAAGTTACAAAGCAAAATGTTGGAAGTTTTATCTGGCATAATATGAGAAATACAGATAATGTGAGTAAAATGTGCTTGATTATTAAGAAATGAAGTTCCCAATTAACACCAGGCTGTGTTTAGGAGCAGTGCATTTGTCTCATTTTACATTTGGAATGTATGTTCTTAATCTACCACCTGTAGTTTTGATTTACTAAGAAATGAAAGTGTATAGTCCTGGTTCACCCTCCCTTGTTTTAACATCTTCACTTTGAGATCGAGCACTTTGTGCCCAGGAACGTGGCACTGCAAATTTACTAAAAATGTATCCATTGATAGTAGAATGTAGTAAATTCATAAAAGAGGATATCTTCATTTAGAAATCAAAGCACTATGTTATAATTTTACAGTCACTACACAAGCCCCAGCTCTTCCTAGGCACAGTGGAGCGACCTAAAAAGAAAAAAGAAGATATATGTGTTAGGTTTGTAGGTAAAAATGTTGATAATAATAGATCAGTGGTGAAATACTGAAATAGTCCGTACTCGTCGGCAAAGAGTTGCTGCCTGGAAACCCTGTCGCCCCAGGCCTATCACTGGCGTGGTCCCTTCCCCAAAACCCTCCCAAAGTCAAACTTTCATAGACCAAATTGTTTGGGGTATATCACATGATTATGTATTATTCATTTCTCTTTAAAGGTGATTTTCTTTTTTATTAATTGAGATAAAATTGCTATATACCATTATATTAGTTGCATAATGATTCAATATTTGTATCTTTTACCAAAAAGTGCTTTTTTTTTTTTTTTTTTTTAAATAGCTCAGGAATTGTTCTACATGAAACATGATATTTTGGTCAAAATGATGTTCAGTATAGATGTGAAGAAATGCTGAATACTTAAAAGCAACTTGGTGACTAATATGGAGAAAATACCAAGTATTATCTAGACAGGCCTTTGCATGAGAAATGTTATCTCAGAGAGAGTAGGCAAAACACACTGCATGCCTGGGATCTGCTTACTCCAGAGAACCAGTGACTTCACATTTATTGACTGCCTTCTCTGTGCATGGCTAAAAAGTCTAAACCCATTCTACTGCTTTTAAGCAGAGTAATTAAATAATAAATGCCATCCATTCGACTCCCTAGCAGTGAAAACAAATCTGATGAGTCAACTCTATGACAGAGAGAAGTGTGGGGTGCTAGGTGAAGGAATATTATTGTGGATAAGGAACAGCTCTTAAATCTTTCACTTATTGTCTTTCACTTATTGTTCTTTTTTTAAAACCTACCCTAGACACTATGCAATTCATAGTGGAAATGAAAGTGTAAAAAGAATAGTTTTTAAAGAAGGACTACTCTGAGAACAGTAAGAATCTATGCATTTCACCTAAGAGAAACAAAACACAGCATTTGGGAAGGATGACTAATACAAAGTATTAAGAAAGTCTTTGTACTTATATACGTGGGGGTATGTCATAAAGTGTTTCTCTCAAACACATGATATCAAAATGACTTCCAAATCGGTTGACACCTCCACCCCCAGACCAATGAGCGCATTTTAAGAACAAAGCAGATTTCAATTGTAATAGAATTCTCAGTGGTTTTGATCACTGTTATCTCCTTGAACAAATATCTATTTAAAAATTATATCTACTTACAATATTCTAGGAGTGACCTCTAAGTCATTTAAATCAAAGCATTTGTTTGTAATTAGCAGCTTTTCTCAAAACACCCAAGACACTAAGTCTCTACATTATGAATAGTAGATGTTGTCATGACAACCAACTAGAAAGTTTAGCTTAGAGAATTTGTTAAACACAATGCAGTCACCTCCTGCTTTGAGTCAAGGCTGGTAGAGGTGTGGGTGGTGGCTTAAGAATCTGTAATCTCATTTTGTTCCTTGGACATGTTCTCTTGTCCATTAGATGGAACACCGAATGGAAAACATTTATTTTCCAGATGCCATGGTTTTAAGTTCACATTTAGGTGTTTTAAAATAGTAATAGAGGTGGCATGCACACAAAATAGCTATGTGGTCATAGATTATTAATTCTGATACAAAGTGATTTAGTATAAAGTATTAATTATCTGTAATAATAATACTGGGTAATAGGTTTCCTTTATAACTGGCCTAAATCAAGCATATCTCAGAAAGGAAGATAGTCTTCTCTCTATTTTTGGGCTCCTTGGTTACCATTCACAACTACTTCTGGGAAGGCTGATGGGAGGTAATCACATAATAGCTAATAAAATCCTGTAGCTCTAACTCAAGTCCTTAAATTATCCCTTCTTCCCTCCACCAAGAGATCTCATTTACTTAAGTCACTTACTTAAGAAACAAGATCAAGGTCACACAATCTAAATCTCTTTTTCTATCTCTTATAAACTCAGTATCTTTCTATACTCATATTCACATCTGCCTCCAGCCTTGGACTCTTTCTGCTCTCATTTCTATCTCTATTTTGAAAAAGATCCTTGGCTCAAATTCTAACTCCACCATTTATTTGCCGTGTGACCTTGGGTCAGCTATGTAACCTCTATGTGTCTCAGATTTCTCATCTGATATAGTGGGGAAATAATAGTACTTAACCTAATAGGGTTGTTGGGAGGATTAAATAAGTTATTTAAAGTGCTTAGAACAGAGCCTAGTATGTAAAATGTGCTTGATAAACATTAACTTTCTATCATTATTTTAAATTTCATGCCTCTCTAACTCCCTAATTTACTTTTATTCTCTACTTTTTCCACTGTGTGATGGCTTCTGCTTCTATAATATTCTCAAAGGTCCCTATAAAGCTTCATGAACGACAAATTACCTCCATTCCTTCTTATAATGTTGAAACACTCTTTTTCTATTTAAAGACTCTATTCTGTTACCTTCTAAGACTCTCTCTGATCATTCCTTTGCTGTTTTCTTCAGAAGCTGCACCTCTCAATTTGACCCAGTAAGTGTAGAAAGAAAAGGACAGCATTTGGTAACATCTCTTGAATCCATCTATATATTTAACTCTTCGAGCCTTACCACTGAGCAATCTTCTAAATGTTTTTCCTTTTATCCAGGCTTCACTTCTCCTGCCCCTAACCCAAGGTATCCTGTCCCCAGCTGCTGCCACGTGAACATTCTATTATCATATCACTCTCTTGGTTAAAAGTCTCCACTGGCTTCTCATTACCAAACTCTGCAGCTTGACCTTCACAGCCCCTCCATCTGACCCCAACCCTCCTCTCCAGTAAGAACTCTCACTCTACTCAAGCATGGATCCTTATACCCAGCCACACTTCCTCAATATAGCCTGCATAATTCTGCTCCAGTGACATTTCTTTCACGTTTTCTCATACAATTTTCCCTTTCTTTCTACCTTTTTAAATTGGATCAATTCATTAATGCTTAGCTTAAGTCCAACTTCTTTCTCACTGAAGCCCTCTCAACAACTATTTTCTTTTTTCTCTTTGGTTTCCCATACCATTCACCACCTATGCCATGGGACACTTCACATCGCCCACTCTACATTGTGGGTTCTCCCCTTACATTTGCAGATCTTACTTAAGTAGTTAAGTTCTATGACAGTGGGGATTCTCATAAGTTTTGTTTTCTTAGCAGTACTTACCATTGCTTCTTGTAAGAAAACTTTGGCTCAATTAAACATCTGAGTGTCTTTTATGTACCAGATACTGAATTAGGGCACAAAATTCCTGATTCTGATCTTGGTTATGATGGAAAGAAAGATCTCAAAAGATCATTCCTAGAAGTATTGGGCCTGCCCAGAGATAGACACAGCTGGAACTCTTTTTGTTAATAAGCTTGTCAGGTCAAGTTCCCTGCTAGTTAATGTAATTTAGGATTGCCATCTTTATTAGGTTCTGACCAAGCATTTGATCTGCTCCCAAATATCAGTGGTTTGAGTATTTAAAATTTATTGGTCATATATGGGTAAGTGGTTCAAATTTTCTGACTACTATCTTTGTTTCTAATTTTCTACCATCTCTTCTCCCTCACTTTTTTTATATGCCATAAGTTTATTTTCAAACATATCTAGTATGCTGAGTTCAACAATTTGATCCATTTTTCAAGGGGACTGCATCTCTTAAAATGCTCTTCACATCTGTTTCACGGATTAACTAAAACATCCGTGAAACATTATTTCTTAAGCAGTTGGTGTCTTACTATAAAGAAAGGTGCAGCAAACCCAGATCCGAAGTACACAGTCATCATAGCTAGCAACTGCCATTTATTTTCTACTGAAAATAGCAAATTCTTCCCTGGGCCCTCCTCACAGCAGCTCCTACGGACCACCGAGGCTGTGTCCCTCTGGATGCTCTGTCCTCACATGGTGCGGCTGGAAGCCCTGCAGATGGTACAGGGACTGGAAGCTGAGGAAATGGAGGTAGCACAACAAGTCCTTTTTTCACGACCTCGCTGTCCTGCATGCAAGGACCGAAAGGGAAGATGGAAAATGGCTCCTCTCCCTTTTTTGTAGTCCTCTTGTGGTCCTATCAGCTCTATCAATACTATAACTCTTCATCAATCGCCAGCAAGCAAATGGTGGCAGACCAACTAATAATAATTTATCTGAGTTGTATTAGCTTACACTTTAAAGGTAATTTTGGATTTTAATTACATTTTAAAATTAAACATTCCCTCATTTTCTTATGTTTAATGAAGAGATGATTTTACCATGTTGAGGCTATATATTTCTATATTGGACAAAATTGAGAGGATTTGTCTTACCAAAAGAATTGTTTTAACAAAAACAGAATGAGTGTAATAATAAGAAATGAAATGCCATACCTGGGTCCACTCATTTGTCTGGGGATCATAGGCCTCCACTGTATTAAGGTAAGTCTGTCCATCGTACCCTCCTACGGCATATAATTTATCACCAAGTAAACAGACACCCACGGCATCTCTGCTGATGCTCATAGATGCCACTGCAGTCCACACATCTGTTTTGGGATCATATCTGAAAGAAAATTTTAGAATTGAAGCTGTTACTGTTCTCACAATAATTTACGTAAAAATAGTTTTGTTCTTTAAGCCTATTTTTTCTTATTATCCACTATATAAAGTACATTTGAGTATATTTTAGAGAACATCAATATCTTCCTGAAAACTTTTAACTTACATAGCAGATGCAGAACAATTAAACTATTCAAGAGTTAATGTAAATACTGAAAACTGCTTTCAGGTTTTAGATTGCCTACTGAAAATCTGAGGAAATCAATACGCGACGAGCTATGTAAGATGACTTTGTCTCAATCATGTGGCTGTCCACTTTTGGACCTTCTGTTCCTCTCATGAAGTATGTTAACTAGAACTGCCAAAAGCTGTCTATCTAAGAGCAGCTATATCATGTTAAGATGACCTATATTGCTTCTAATACCTCTTATATCAATGAACAACTTTTCATTGGGTGTATACTACAGTGAGCCTGCAGTAATTTATGGGGCAAAGTGTATAAAGACTTCCATATTCCTTTCTTGGATTATACATGTAACAAGCATAGTCTGAATATTTTCTCCCCAGTACAGGTGACATTCAAGTGTAACAT